TGTATTTCCTTAGCATTGAAAAAAACGTCCCCTCCAAACAGAAGTGCCACCAGACAAACAGCACACCTGATTCCTGCATCTGGGCCAGAACCACTTACTTGAACACTTAGATGAAGGGGAGGGAGGAGGGGGAACAAGAGTCTGCTGGCAGGAGACGGCACCGTGATGGAGCTAAGTGAGATGTCCATTTGCCTCTGAAACCTTCAAGGTGCCAAGAACCCTGCACCCAAGAAGGACAGAGAGTAGACACACTTTTGCATGCATTGTGAAATGTTGATTAAAATAAAAACAAACAACTCTCACAAATTAGCTACCAAGAAAGACTCATCAACTCCTAAGAATTCCTATGACTGCTATAGTACGAATTGTTGATAAAGAATTTCTAGAAACTTTTGCTTGAAAGGTAAGAAACAGCCACCTGGGAACCCACATATCAGGGGAAAAAATCATACCTAGTACACAGATATTAAAAGTAAGAGAGCTTTTAATAAGCAACATCAGTTTGAGATTGAAAGAGTTCAAAGTGTCAGGACAGGGCTGGGAAAAGGATTTAGTCAGTGGTAAAGTGTTCACTGCAGGAACAGGAGGTTCTGAGTTCAATCCCCAGCACCCCAGTACAGGCGGCACAGGCCTGTACTACCAATGCTGGGGAGGTGGAGACAGGAGGGCTCCTGGGACTTGCTGGCAACCCAGTCTAGCAGAGGCAGTGAGTTCCAGGTTCAGTGAGAGACTCTGTCTCAAAAAATAAGGTGGAGAGCAACTAAGAACACCCCATGTTGACCTTTGGCTTCCACGTCCCCCACCCACCAAACACAAACACACATACATACACACACACACACACACACACACACACACACACACACACACACACACATACCTTATTCTTCATTCAAAGGCATGTACACTCTCTTATCTGTTTACTTTTTAAAGTGTATTGATCTGATTTTGTGTATGTGATGAATATGCATGTATGTGTCCAGGTGCACATGCCTGTGCACACTCGGAGGCCAGAGGAAGGTGTCAGACGGCCTTCTCTATCACTTTCCACTTTGCTCCTTTTGAGATAAGGTGTCTTCCTAAGCCAGGCTCATGGGGTTTGTTAGCGGACAGCCAGCAAGCCCTAGTGATCCTCCTGTCTCCACCTCCTGCAGTGGCTAGGACTACAAGTTTGTGTGGGATTCAAACTCTGGTCCTCGGGTTTGCACAGCAAGGCCTTTTAACCATTGAGCCGTCTTTCCAGCCCTTAGTTTACTAAATAAATAAATAAACAAATAAATAAATAAATAGAGTTGCTATATAATCACTAGAAAACTAAATCTTCAAGGCTATCCAAAGGAAAAAGGAAGGTGTTAGTGACAGAGCAACAGAGGATTTGCCCAACTGCAGCTGGAGGCTCCAGGGTCCAGGTGTGTGCAAATCCCATCATGGAGTATGAAGCCAGCCCAGCTAAGCAGAGGAGACCTGCAACTATGGACAGATAGCCCTACTTCAGAACAGCCTGGAAAACACGGATGAAATAAACAGCTCCCCAGGAAATGTCATGGAGGAAACAGCTGGAGAACCTCATTTCTCATTTCCCTTGTGCAAAGCTTCCTGTCATAAATGCCCACACATGGGAGACCACCTCAGCCCAGCTAGGCAACTCCCTCCCCTGACCCTACACCTGCCAAGACTTCGGCCTAAGAACCGTGCCCAAGCTCTCACTGAGGGTGATGGAATATGACTGTAGTTAGTTAAACCCACACAGACCAAACTAGTCCACTCTATGGTGTTCTTTGTGACAGTTACGAACTATGTAAGTGACGGCCCAACTTCCAGTAAGTATGCTAAACATGGAGGGCATGGCTTCTCCTTCATCTTTTCTTGCATGCTGGAATTCAGGCTGGGGGCTTGAGATGGGGGAGCCATCTTATCCCATAAGGCGCCTGAAGTGAGGCACGTAGAAAGGTGAACCAGGGGCATCTAGGCCATCGCCAGCTGGAAATTTAGCCTCCAGACTTTGACATATCAAATAAAAATCTCCTGGCCACACTGAAGTTATAGTTATTTCAAAATTAAGAAGAAATATAAAAATGCTTACAATTAAAGAAATTCACTCAATAAATAACGAAGTTTTGAGAGAATAAAAAGGATGAAAAGATTGAAATTTCAATGCTCAGGAAACAGTAAGAAAAGGGACTAGCAAGGGACACAGTGGCGACCTGGACAGATCATGACAAGGAGCAAACACAGGCAGAGCGGCAATAGGAGGCGGGGGGCCTTGAGAAAGACATGGAGGCCAAGGGGGGCCAGGCCACAGCCTGGAATGGAGTCAGAGCGCTGAAGAAGAGGTGTAGGCAGCAAGGAGAAGAGGGAAGCTTTCCCAGGGGCTCTGCTGAAAGAGCGGTGACATCACCTGACAAATGTACCCTCAGCAACATGCAGAGACACACAAGTCCACAGAGATGCTCACAGCAAAGAGAAAAGTGCAGAGCCGGGCACAGTGGTACAGGTTTGAAGCTAGCCTGGTCTACATAGCAAGTTCTAGCCAACTAGGGTCACAGCGAGACAGTGTCTCCAAACAAACAAACAGGCACTAACACAACGACACAGGAGCAAAGACACACGCTGGCAGACACACGCTGGCAGAGTACGGCTTGCATGTGGAATGCTATCAAGTACTACAAAGTACATGAACCAGACGTATAAACACAAACCTTTTTTTCTTTTCTTTTCTGGCATGGTAAGGATGAAGCCCAGACCTGTCAACATGTTAAGCAAGTGCTTTACCACTGAACCACATCCCAGCCCTGGAACGTGTAAAATACAATGTTGAGAGTATAAAGCAAGCTGTGGGGAGATACAGATTCGGTACATTTATATGCCATTTTTCAACGGAGAGTTCTTACTCATTGCTTAGAATGCACATCTGAAACCTGTACCAGCACACAGGAGACTGAGAAGCACTAAATTCAGGCAGAGACGCTATGTCTGAGGACTGAGAGTAGGCTCGCTGACGGCACCGGGGTGCTCCAACTGCATTTGCAGTACTGTATCCCTTCAGTCAGGTACAGGGACAGACAGACACAACAATACACAAATACCAACACCAACATAATGAGTGAGTACAAGTAAACAGAGGCAGGCAAGAGCAGTGATCCCGGCAGAGGCTGAGGCAGGAGAATCATGAGTTTAAGGCCAGTCTGAGTTACACAGCAAGACCCTGTCTAAATGAACAAATGAATGAACAAGACTAATATAATTTGAATCTAAATTACCAGACCTTTGCTCAGTGTTTGTTGGTGTGTTTAAGACAAGGTCTCACTGTGTAGCCCTGGCTGGCCTGGAAATCACTCTGTGGACCAAACTGGCCTTAAACTCACAGAGATTCACCTGCCTCTGCCTCCTGAGTGCTGGGGCTAAATGCATGTGACTCACACCTGGCAAGATTACCAGACTTTCCATGGAACCAGATGAAGGTAACCTCACTGCCAGGGCTGCATGACCCAGCCCCAAGACTCAGTAGTGGCAGAGACAATGTGGAGAATGGGGGAGGGGGAGGAGAGCAGCTGGAATGACCTTGCCCGACAGAAAGCACAAGCTTAAGGCAAGGAGGAACACAATGGTGCCCAGAAGCACCCCCAAGTGTGCAGGATGGTTGCCACTAGCCGGCTCGGAGCAGGCCGGGGAACCGGATCTCCACACACAGTACTAAGTCTGGACTGACCAGATACCCCAGATGGCTTCAGGTACGACCGAGAATAACATGGCTACCTTACAGCAGGTAGAACTGATATACGACACAGCATGCTCAGTGTGGAAAAGAGCTGAAGTCTGTACCGCAACAGAGGATTTTTTAAAACAATTTTAAAAAATGAAAAATAGAACTTCTTTAGAATAAAAGAACAAAGAGAGGTAACAAACTACAAAAATATTTACAGAAGGAGACACAGGCTTGATCCCAAGATGTATATCAAGCACGCAATATCGACAGACATTATACACACACACACACACACACACACACACACACACACACACACACACATTATATCCGGGAAAGCACAATAACAAAAAGTCATCAAAGGGGAAGAGGGATGACGAGAGGCAGCCACACCAGCCAGTTCAAAACTCCAAAGCTCTTGAGAAGGAAAGGCTTCCATAAACCATATTGGTTCCTCTCCATTGCTGTGACAGAACACTGTGATCAAACTTTTGGAAGGAAGGGTAACTGATTTGCACTCAAAGGTCCAGGGTTAGAGTCCACAATGGTGTTGTGAAGGCAAGGCAGCAGCAGGAGGAGCTAAGAGCTCACACTCTAACCACCAAGCAGAAAGAGCAAATTAGCAGTCATCTAAGTCTTGAAACTATCAAAGCCTGCCTCCAATGACACACTCCCTCCAACAAGTCCACGCCTCCTCAACCTCCCCAAACAGAGCCACCAACTGAGGACCAAGTGTTCAAATGTCAGAGCCGACAGGGACATTCTCATTCAAACCACCACAGCTACCAAAACTCATTCAAGGTATTTTAGTGTTCCATCCTCTTACTAATGTGACTTTGGGGGAGCTTTCACGTGTTTGCCTCTGGCCTTGCTGGAGGCTGAGGGCAGGCAGGATCTACATCATAACAGTTTAAAAAGAAAAAACCACATCAGGAAGAAAGCTCCTAGGAGACACACACACAGAACTCACAGTAAGAACCAGGCCTGAAAACCCCAGCTCTTAATCTGCAATGACCGAGGGTCAGGGGTCAGCCTGTCCACTCTTCACAGTTGCCAGGGAGAATGGGCAGGCAAGGCCGGAAGGGACGCCATGGAGTGGTGGTACAGCAGCTCCCCATGCAGCCTCGCAAACAGGCTGGACAGTTGGGAGCAGCCCCCCAGACAGCCCCGCCTTCTACTTCAGCTGGGAGGGGAATGGCCTTCAAGCACATGAACAAGATAACGGGTTTAAAATCTACTGAACATTGTAACATCTAAAGGCTTTCCAAGTGCCCGTGGTAGATCTGCTCCTCACCTTCTCACCGGGCTTGGAAGACTGCTGCAATTTCTCATAATCCTTCTTCGTCTCCAAGATCTTTTTCACAAGCCCACCTGTTAAAAATCAGGAGTTTTCAGTTAAAGCTCATTCCCCAAGAAGTTACTTATTATTCTTAGACCTCATTGGGAAGATAGGCAAAACAGTGAATTCTCATCCTTTCTCTTTCCATATCAAAACACCTTGCGATCCTTTGCTAAGACAGAACACAGTGCCCCCTGCTGCTGGCAGAGGCTAGTCACAAAGTGTCACAGAAAAGAGTTTTAGAAATAAACAGATTTTTTTCTTCTTCCCCAAGTTAAGAAGAAATGTGGATTAACACCCCAAAATGTAACTACCTACTGCACACAGAGCGATTCCAATGGTTTCTCGGTGCTGAAGCTACTTTTAGATTAGGCAGGAATACTAAAGTTCTTTTAGAATTCTCCATGGTGTAAATAGCTTAGGAAAATCATTTTCTTAAAAATACTGTTTTCCAGATGCTACTGGGGTAGCAGCATCAATGGTGGAACTGAGCTGCAAACTCTGTGAACCACAATAATGACCAGTGAGGCACAGGACGCCCATGGCGTAACCGTGGCACACGTGTATGAGGTAATCAGCTATTTTCTGGTTGGATTTAAGACTTATTCACTAAAAGGAAACTCAAACACAGTACTATAAATCTGGCCAAGACCCAGTGGCTGGAGTCCTGGAGCTCACCAGCCCCAGGAGAGAATTTCTCCTGTTCCGCTAAAGGGACATAGCATCAACTTGCTCTCTGAATTTGTATCTCTCTACCCACAATTAGTGCAGCCCTCAGACCTCATAAGAGAAGTTTCTTTGTGCAGTGGGTGGTGGTTAATGTACAAACTCACAACCAATCAAAATACGTTTCATGAAATTCTCAAAGAATTAATAAAATATACTTAAAAGTGGTTATGGTTTTTTTGTTTGGTTTGGTTTTGTTTTGTCAGGCAGTGGTGGTATATGCCTTTAATCCCAGCACTTGGGAAGCAGAGGCAGATGGATCTCTGTTAGTTTGAGGTTAGCCTGGTCTACAAAGTGAGTTCCCAGACACTCAGAGCTGTTACACAGAGAAACCTTGTCTTAAAATAACAAAAGAAAAAGCGTTTTTTACCCAATGAGGTTGAACAGATGAGTTATGACATAGCCACATGGTATACAACACACCACTATGAAGAGAGACCAAAACTGTGCCTCTGTGCTGGAATGAAAGCCAGCAGACTACACACACACACACACACACACACACACACACACACACACACACACACACACTTTTAAATGGAAATATTACTGATATTTTCACCTGCACCTATGGGCGAGGGAGAGTATAAGGAGAAAGAACAAGGTCTAAAGTCTCATACCTCAGGGCTAGGTGGTGTGGTGTACTCTTATAATCTCAGCATTCATGAAGTAGAGGCAGGAGGATGGTCAAAAGTGTCCCCACAGTGAGTTCTAGGCCAGTCAAGGAGCCACACAATGGGACCTTGCCTCAAACAAACAAAAACAACAAACTTCCACCTCTTAATGCATTTAGCTGTGTACATTTAACCTTAAAGCCATAGGAATATTTTATATTATATTATATTATATTTATATCCTATTATATTATAATATTTTATAAAAAACGAAACTGAGTTGGGTGTGATAGCACATGCTTCTAATTCCAGCATTTAAGAGGCTGAGACAGGAGGATGGAGAGTTCCAGGCAGCCTAAACCACATAGAAAGCTCTAGTCTCGAGAAAATTTATGTGTGTATGTGTGTGTACACAGGCGTTAATGTCTTGGGCAGACAAAACAGGATGCCACTGTGACCAGAGCCATACTAATCTCAGGTCCTGTGGTTCCCTACAGGTCCACATGGTGGCAGCAACAGTGACCCTCCTAGACACAGCTAGGCACAGGGGGGCCACTTGTATCTCTGTGAGAGCACTCATGGAGAGCCCATGGACACATGGACTCAAGTACACTCACCATGCTTCTCCTCATCCTCCAGGTCCCCTGCTGGCACCTGAGCAGAAAAGAAGAAAGATCAGGTACGCTGAATGTTCAAAGTCATTAAACAAACAAACAAATAATAAATATAAACAAAGAAACTAAAGAAATTAGACAGCTTATTGGAACTAGGGGGGAAACAATTTTTACATACATGAAAAGCCGACTATATTCACGGAAAACAGGCCCCTCTGGTGAACTAACCATTTCAATCTCTGACATTTCCGTGAGCTGAGGGGCAGCTTCCACCACAAACTGCTCATCATCCTCATTGTCAGAATTCTGTGAGTCGATGATCACATTGGAGACAGTTTTACCACTTCCTGACCTGAGCAAGAAGAGAGTCACTTACATTAGAAGTGGCCCACTACCACCAGTGTCATCAGCCCCACATCTGGAAACATCACAGTCATCTGAAGGAAGCCGGACTGCCATTGCCCTAGACAGGCGGAGGGAAATCAGGGAACAGTGGGGACAGAGCACCTTTCACTACCCAAAGCCCCATGCTGCCCAGAGCTGTAGGCCACCCCAGTCCGCTACCCCAGCCTTGCTGGTCCTTCTGCTCCACAGAGGCTCTTGAGACCTCCCTCTTCCGACACTGGCAGACCACGGATGGCTCACTGACCCAGAACCTCGCCTCTTCACAGGACAGCTCCTCTAGGCCCAGCCACCATACCTCTTCGGTATGTTCATCTTTGGGGTACCCTTTCGTTTCTAACTTTTGTGCAATTAAGCCTTCAATTCTTCCTTTTTTTTTTTTTTTTTTTGGTTTTTCGAGACAGGGTTTCTCTGTGTAGCTTTGCGCCTCTCCTGGAACTCACTTGGTAGCCCAGGCTGGCCTCGAACTCACAGAGATCCGCCTGGCTCTGCCTCCCGAGTGCTGGGATTAAAGGCGTGCGCCACCACTGCCCGGCTCAATTCTTCCTTTTGAAAGTCTTCTATCTAGAGGTCAGTGAAACACAACCCAACACTGGCCTATGCACTATGAGGTATCATGAACATGAACACACATATTTCTCCCTCTTGCCAGTATGGAATACATGCTGTTTTATGGGTTAAGACCTAACCCCATCTTTCTTCAAAAGCAAGTTTTCTCAGCACTACCTACTACACCCCCACCCAGTCTCTTAGCACAGGCCCAAGACCCCCGCATCCCATGGCCCACACACTAGAGAACACGGGTTCTCCAGAACCTCCCGGCCAGACAGCCTCACCTGTCTCCTGCCAGGGTCTCAGTGCTCTCTTGTCGTTTGACCCTGGGAGGTGCTGGTCGTGCACTCCCTGGCCGAGGTATTCTTCTGAGTAAGCATTGGAAGGAAAAAACAGGACATGACACACACACGCATTTCAAGGTGGACAAAATAAAAAGCTAGGTCAACATTAGCACTCATTTCCACGCCACTGTCAGCAGGACAGTCAGACACTCTGCAGAGGAATCTGAACACCCATTAACACGGCACAGCTGCCACGCCTCAGAACATGACAGACCTTTGCCATGACTAGAGACTTCCCCAAACTGCTACAATGCTCCAAACATGGCCATGTAACTCAGGTACAAGAAAACTGTACAAGTAGCTTTCACTTGTGTGTACAGATGATAACTACGGCATCACACAAGCGTTGAATGGGCAGCGGAAGCTATGGCAGGAAGCGCCACAGCTCATCCTTGAGTGGCCGCACTCCCAAGCACAGGGGAAGGACTCACCTGAGATTGGAGGAAAGCTCACTGGTGACTTCTGCATTCTCTGACACCTCAGGCTTATCTTGGCCAGTAGATCCAGCTTCTCCTTCTAAACAGGTGACAATCCAATCAGCAATTCAAAAAGAATTCAATAGTAACAAACATAAATTTACTCAAATATAAATACCAACTAATTTAAATATAAATATTTGAAAAGGCATCAATCAAATGATTGAAAATGTCAATGAACTCTTTTCATCCATCACTGGTGAAGTTGAAACAGAAGAGGTCTGACATCTACATGTGGACATCTGGGGACGTGAACGCACACAGGCTCTGTTAATGTAAACTGGCTGACTAATCCAGGAATAAAGTTCAAGGGGTGGCTGGATCCAGTCAGCAACTTAACACAAATGAACTGACCTAAGGAAAGCCATGGCACACCCAGACAGACAGGAGTGTCCATCGCCAGCAGATCCAGTCCACTCACACACTGGACTCCTCATGCTGCCATCTAATTAAGCACACAGTGTTACAGTGACAGACATCGAAGTCACATTCACACATGTGGGCCCACAAGTGTGTGCCTCAGCTGTAAACAACAGTCACCAAGTGCCTTTCACTCTGCTACAGCGGTCTGCATTTCGGAGTGATCTACAGTGGGGCTATGGTCTCTTCATGGTCAGAAAATAACTTTGTTTGTGCTTATGAGACAAAGTCTTCCTACACAGTCCTGAAGGGCCTGGATCTCTCTCTATAGACTACGGTGGCCTTAAACTCATAGAGGCTACCTGCCTCTGCATCCTGAGTGCTGAGGTTAAAAGTATGCAGGACCACCTGACTAAAACAGTTTTTTCATTTTAATAAAAAGATTAAGCCCACAAGTTACAAGTCCAAACTACTAAGACAGTAGAATTTATTCTACTATTTAAAATAAAGGAAATTTATACTTTAGAAAACAGTAAAAATACATTAGAATTTGAACAATTAGAAATAAACGTTATACTCTGGAAAGAACCCTGAAATGTGGCCTTTTCAAGATTAAAACACATTGAACATGCAGAGGCAGACAGATCTCTGTGAATTTGAGGCCAGCCTGGTCTACAGAGCAAGTTCCAGGACAGCCAGGGATACACAGAGGAACCCTGTCTTGAGAAAAAACCAAACCAAAACAAAACACCACATAAACATGTATAACCCACACAGAAGACTAAAACTTAAAATACAGCAAATTAACATACATTCAAACGGTATATTTTCACTGGCACATTTTTTAAGCCCAGAAAGGAGAGCCCGCCCACGTTGACACCTGCACACGCATGACCACACCAAACACTCAGAACTGCTCTCACCTGCGTCACTGGGGGAGTCGCCTAGAAAAGAAGAGCATCAGAAAATTAGCCGTCATGTAGGGGACGCACAGCACAGTGACTCACTGAGCAGCCAGAAAATACACCTCCAATAACTGAGACCTGCTAGACAGGGCTCCTCTGGGCGTTTCTCCAGCATTTTACCACTGGTCTGCTATGGTCAACCAGAACCATAAGACTGAATATTAAAATGAGACTGTGGCCGGGTGGCAGTGGCGCACGCCTTTAATCCCAGCACTCAGAAGGCAGAGGCAGGCAGATCTCAGTGAGTTCAGGGCCAGCCTGGTCTACAGAGTGAGTTCCAGGACAGCCAGGGCTACACAGAGAAACCCTGTTTGAAAAAACCCCCCCAAAAAAAGAAAAAAAAAAGAAAGAAAAGAAAAACCAAGGGAGAAAAAGAAAGACTGAGCTAAGTGAAGCAAATACTGAAGTCACAAAGCCACGAGAACAAGCTGGTGTGACAGCTCGGGGCCAGCAGGACCAGCACGGGCAGCCCACCCTGATGAACTAAAGAACTAACTCCTCCAGCTTCCTGCGGCCCAGACTGCACCTTCACCCCGGTCCTTGCTCTTCACGTGCTGCACTCGGGGCACAAACACGGCCCATTCAGTGAAGAGCAGCACAGGGTGGACTCACAGCCAAAGCTGTGGGCTGGAGATGCGGAGGGTGTCAGAGCTGGCCAAGCATCCATGAATCCCTGGGTTCCGACCCCAGCACCACCGGACGACAAAACTGAAGGCCCAGAATCCTTGCATCACACCCAGGGACACGTTTATATAAGGCCACCAGGATGAGGGCCGGGGCGCCTTGGCTGGGGGGAGCAACACACAGTCACATATGCCCATCTCCACACAAGCCTTGTCCTCAAGGTACAAGCACCAGAGTACCCACATGTGGGCACAGGGGCCATGGCCCCTGGGATCTGACTCACACAGGACGTCTCATGAGTGCTACAGCAGAGCTCCTAGACAAAGTAATCTGAGGGAGGAAGAGTTCCTGCGGCCACAGAAAGGGGGGATGATCTAGGATCCTTTCTCTGTGGCCCCAGGAGACTCCAATGTCACAGCACAGAGTGGGCAGTGGGCAGGGTCTAGACAGTAGGGACTCCAGATAGAAGGACAGTACGAAAGAGCAGCAGGGACCCAGGCAACAGGCAACAGGCATGAGGGACGCCACTGAATCCAGAAACAGCCACGTGGACACCCTAGGTCCGTGTGTCCAGACCTGGCGTCTCCTGCAGGCTGTGCTGGGCTCTACTCCTCTCTGCTCTGCTCTTCAAGCCTAAATTAACATGGAGCTTTTGAAATCCAGCATAACCTATGTCACCACTACCATAAACAGCACCAGCTTCCACTGCTCTAGCCTCCCTAACACGGCCACGTGAAGTCTGGAAGGACCTGGCTGGGCCCTCTCCTTGCCCACGCCCACATCTTGCTTTTCATGCTTCTGCTACACCATGCCAGCCACCTCAACACTTCCCAGCTCTGAGCTTCATTGGGGCACCCTCCCGTCGGGAAGGCTGGTAGACCCTCCTGTTTCACAGGTCACCCTCAGTCCCTCTCCCCTCTCCTTCCACCATCTCCTGTGCGGTGGCTTTTCTCCACCTTTGCAGCCTCAGCCCCTGTACCAATGCCAGGGCAGGTGGCCCTGCGGCCCTACTCTCCCATGCAGTCCCTGCCTTCGTCCTGACACAGTCGCTCTCAGACAAGTATTCTGTATTTAACTAGTTGACCACCATCATCCCTCAGCTGGCTGCACCCACCATGCCAGACCCAGCACATGCCCAGCCTGCTGGAGGCCCCCAGGCTTTGGGAACAGATGGAGGGGTCTTCTACCACAGTCCTTTGAAAGGTGAGAAAAACCTGAAAGCAAAGGCATCTGCAGACTGGAGGGCCACAGACAGAGGACCAGGCAGCAGCCCCATTTTTGGCTGTCTAAAGCCTCCCAACAGTAGTGGCCTGCAGGGCTCTGACCAGTGGACCTGGAACTTGTTTCAGAGATCATTCATGACACCCTGGTGTCACAAATGGCACCGCTTCACACAGGTCCAAGAGTGTCTTGCCTTGTTTCACGTGCGGACTCCCTTGCCTCATCAGGGTATACTCCGTTCTGGCTGCACCCTGGGAGAACACTGGCGCCTGGCAGCTGGCGTGCTCTATGCTGCTTCGTCTCCTCCCACCAGGAGGTGTGAAGGGGTCATCCTTACCTTTCTGTTTTACTGCTGACTCTGGCTCAGCGTTCTCCCACCACAGACGAGCTGAGTTATCATTTGAAATACTAGTTCAGTTAGTACTGGCTTCTCAGATCCCGACATAAAGAGTTCACAGCTGGGCACGAGACTGCGCCGTGAAGGCCTGTGATAGCTAATGGCCTGCCCAGCACTTACATGTCTGTTTTCCCACACTGCCACAGGATAAAGACGACAAAGGCAGCTTTTGAGATCATGCAGCTCCGGGACAGACACAGGAGGGACCAGACGTGAGTCTGGCCCAGATCTCAGGACAGCTGGGATCAGGGAACTTCCCAGTCAAGCAGACTAGCCCTACCTCCCCATCCTAGAACCACTTATACCAGCTCCTACCAGCCAGGCCTGAGAGCCAAGCTTCACACAATTAGCACATCAGGAAAGAAAGAGAAAGGGGGAAATACTTCTGGTATACATCCCTCAACACACTGAAGAGTCCCAAAAACTGTCTGCTGATTACTAATGTTCAAGTCTTAAAAACGGAAAAAAGGTTCATCACGTGGGGTAAATACTTTCCATACTGAAAAGCAAAGGGGTGAGAGAGAGGCTCACAGAGCAGCTGTGCACAGCGGCGGGCCCAACTCTGACACATCAACTCAAGGGCCCTGGAAAACAGTCTGCTTCCTGAAACCCAACTGTGTAACTTCTTAAAACCATTCAAAGAAAGGGTTCCTTCCCACCATGAGCTGCCACTCACTATCAAAGGACCGCCCCAGTTAGGAAGGAAGAACTACACAGAGCAGTGGAGTGGGGCTCTATAAGGAAACTTTCCTTCAATTGATTAAAAAAAAAAAAAACCAAAAACTGGCCCAACAGCCTGAATGAAGTGACTAAGTACTGCAAATGTCTTACAGAGCAGCCGAAGAACGAGCAGGAAATCTACGATCGAAGAGCAAGCAAGCTCAGGAGCTACCGACTGCCAGCCTCCGGAGCCCACCAAGTCCAAGTGTCTCACTGTTCAGGGAAGTACCAAGCACCTCTGTTCCACAAAACCAACATCACAGTGAAAAGTGCAGACGCCACTGTGTGTCTGTGGGAAGCCCACAGCATGACGCTATGTTCTGTCTGTCCGTCTGCCTTTATTAGTTTATTGACTTGGGGGGGCCCAACCCCGGCCTGGCTTGGCACGTACTAGACCAGCCTCCTACCACTGAGCTACACCTCTCAGCTCAGACCCTTTGGATAATTTTACTCTCCTCAAGCTCTACTGGTATAGTTTTGTCAGGATTTGTTTGCTTTGAGGTTTTTTGGAGCAAGGTTATCTTGTTTTGTTTTTAAGACATAGTTTGTTTGATGTAGCCCAGGTTGCCCCTGAACTCAACATGCAGCCAAGGCTGGCCTTGAACTCCAGATCCTCCTGCTTCCCCCACCAAGTAATGGGATTACAAGCATTCACCATTGTGCTCAGCTTCTACTAGTCTTCTTTATATTTGTTCATTTTATTTATTATTTGGGTGAGAGGACGTGATCCATGGGTGTGGGCAAGCACATGGACGTCAGTAACAACCGTATGGCGTCAGTTCTTTCCCCCGGTCCTGAGGACTGACCTCCAGTCAGGCCTGCACGGCTAGCAGGTCAACCACCGAGTCACATTCTCCAGTATTCTTAAGCAGTCTGACTGCTCTGTGCTGTGTTCATGGTTTGCCCAGATGTAAGCTAGCGATGCAGGGCTGCTATTAAATCTGATTGCATAACTACATTTTTCAAACAGTGGAAAATAACTTCAAAAAAATTAGAACACAGCTTGGATTTTATTTATTTGTTCGTTTGTTTGTTTGTTTTTCAAGACAGGGTTTCTCTGTGTAGCTTTGTGCCTTTCCTGAAACTCACTCTGTAGACCAGGCTGGTCTCGACAGCTTGGATTTTAAATAATAATCAGAAATAATTCCGCCAGTGCTGTTATGTCAGAGACTGTCTGTTTTGTTGCATTGGATTTGGGGGATACATTCTGAAGTGTTTACAGAAAATTATCAAGATGTTTTTATCATACGTGGTAATCATTCCTAAAAATCAATAGCTAAGCAAAGCAAGAATAAAGAATTTAAACTTCACAGGACACCTAGGCACTAGGTGAGCTGCACTGCTGTACACTGCTGCATTTTTGATAATAGCAATAAAACAAAATGAGAAGGTAAAGTGAACAAAATAACGATGGCTTAATGCCCCAGAAAAGGCAGGAAGTGTCCAACTAGAGAGACCAGCACACATGGTGCAAGCTGACATTACAACAAGCATGCAGGACACAGGTGCTCACGGGTGGAGGGGACGTGGGTAGACTCCTGGTGAGCTCATCAACACACCTGAAAAAGCAAAATGGTAACAAAACCCATACACTCTCTTCTGGCAACCCACAGTAGAACCCGCCATGTGTAAGGGCCGGCCAGCCAGCAGATGGCTGCTTTCTTTGAAAACACAGGACAAGCATGATGGCACATCTGCTATCCCAGCTCCTGCAGGCAGAGGCAGAAGGATTTTGAGTCCCCAGCCAGCCTGGGCTACATAGTGAGACTCTGGTAGATGGGTTAGGGCACTCCCAAGCCAGGGCTCTGCTCCTGACCACTGTTACCTAAATTCACAGTATCAGCTCTACCATCCAGGGGCAGCATAGGAGCCACACCCTGACCGCCCCACTAGGGGGCAGTATGGGAGTAACACTCTCACTCTACCAGGCGGCATCAGGTTTCACTCTAAGCTACTAAACACTCAACGGTACAGTTTGCACTTAAGGCCTGAACTTATGCTTTCACACCTGTAGATAAGATTTATAAGCTGTTCAATATAAGCCTAAGAATGGTTTCAATTTATTTGAAATCACTAGTCCCCTGAGCTGTGAGTTCTAAATAGACTCCATCTCGCTTACTCTCAGAGCAGCCCTCTCCATACCCACATGCAATGAGGGACACAGAGGCTAAGACCGTGCTCAGGGAACCACCTGAGAGCTTGCTCCAGGCCAGGAGGGGTAAGCAGAAGAGGTGGGAGTCATCCACCGGTCTTGGATGAGGAGTCACAGCTGAACAGGCCAAGACTGCCTCCCAGCTCTCCCCACCACCTCTACAGACAAGCAAAGCTCTTGCCCAAATAAAACGTATCCTCACAAGGTGGGGTTGAAGGGTGGCGTGCCCACAGCGTCAGTAACGACCGTGACCGCCCAGTTCAGAACCTGCATCTGACCAACCAAGACCCACAGCCTGGAAAAGCCACGTACAGAGCTTGACCTGACACAAGGTAGCCACAGACAGCTTTCCCATTGCATCTCCTCACTAACGAGGGAACAGAATGGTCCAAACACCCTCTTAGAGGCCTGACTTTCAGAGGGACCCCATGCACAGGTGCGCCTGCCATCGTTCCAGGTGTATTTTCAGAATTTTACTGTTTGCCGCGCCACAAGCCAGGGAGGGTGGCATGCTCCCATGATCCCAGCACTGGGGAAGTGGAGCCAGGCAAATCCCAGGAGTCTGCTGGCCAACCAGTCTAAAAGAATTGAAGACTCTGTTTCAAAAAACAAGAGAGAAAGGGGCTGGAGAGATGGCTTAGCGGTTAAGAGCACTGGCTGCTTTTCAGAGGACCCAGGTTCAATTCCCAGCACCCACATGGCAGCTCACAACTGTCTGTAACTCCAGTTCCAGGGGATCCAACAACCCTCACACAGATACACGTGCCGGCAAAACACCAATACACATAAAAACATAAATCAATCAATCAAACAGGGGAAAAAGCAGTAGGAGAAACTCAGTGTGGACCTCTGCCATCCACATCCACACACGTGCACATACACAGACAATCCACACAAAAAAGAAAAACAAACTATACAAAATCTGGTAGATACAAGGCAGGTTAAGCCCAGAAAAATGTTGTCTTCTCTAAAATTAAAAGTGGTGCCATGTTTTTCCTTGAGTGCAACGCAAGGATTCTCTTTCTAAAGAATGCGGTTTAAGCTCCAGGAAACTAGAGTGCCTGGCAGTAAGGGTGACCCTGCATACTTCTTTTCCTCCCCAGCTTTAACTGCAATGACTGTGGCAATGTGCCACGGACATGTTCTTTAAGGCCTTAGAGAATTTACACATTTACAGTGTGGTATGAGCACATGTGTGTCTGTGTGAGCCACAGCACACATGTGGAGGTCAGAGGACGACCTGTGGGAACTGGTTCTCTCCTTCTACCATGCGGGTTCCAGGGATCAAACTCAGGTTGCCAGGACTGGCTGAAGGCCTCTTTACCTGATGAGCAATCTCACTGACCCACTTTTTAAAGCCTTAATGGTAAAGAATTCTGAATGAAACAAAGTAGAACCGATGGGGATATAAAAATGTAACTCCTCTATGGAGCCATCCACATTCTCTTATTCAACTTCAGTATCAAGATGAGCAAGAGCAGGGTGGTGGTGGTGCACGCCTTTAGTCCCAGCACTCAGGAGGCAGAGGGAATTCCAAAATACAAAAAAAAAAAGATGAGCAAAATGTCTTGACTTCACCTTACATGTTATGCACATACATCGTACCTGTCAAACACATGTAATAGCATGTATATGTAATATATAGAAGGGCATGTAGCTAGATGTGGCACCATCTGAGATGTTAAGGCAGGAAGGTCACTGTGAGTTTGAGACCAGCTTGGGCTATAGAATGAGATGCTGTCTCAAAAGAAGAAAAAAAGTGGGGAGGGGGGTGGCTTGAAGATTTACTTCAAGCCAACTTAATAAAACTATCACATAACTTAGCAAATTAAATCAAGCTGGACGGTAAGTCATACCTGATCCTCAGTACACAGGGGAAAATATGATGAGCAGTAAAGTGCTTAGAATAAAAATAATCCACAGCTCCACTGACACGTAAATATTTTGTATCAAAATCGTGAAGAATTTAACTGAAGGGCAGTTTCTCTTACAGCAACACTGACCCGGAACTATTTCACATCAACACTGAGGAGTCAAACTGAAGGGCGCATTTCTCTTACCTATTTCTGGAGCTGTCGTTTCCTGATCTGGTTCGTCATTTAGTCCCGACACTATGGAGTCTAAAATCTTAGCTGAAATATTATCCTCTTTCCTTCCTGACATAAAACAGTTAACAGCAGATTAAAACCCTGCAGGAGTTCTGTGTTTCCGCTGCTTTAGTTAGTTTATAAAGCCTACTACCAAGGTCACCACAGACTGCGGGTCCAGTCAGTGCTCAACTCTCAGCTGCCCCAGGACACCCCTTAGAAGACCGGACAAGATGTCCTCTCTGCTCTCCATCATGTCCTTTCTTTGACATTCAGGACACCCTCTCCAACTCTTCCTCTGATCCATCTTCCGATCTGACTCTTGGTGGGGTCATGAGCATCTACAGGCCACACTGTGCCATCACTACAGACTAAGAGCACTCATCTGCAGCCTCCTGTTCCCAGGACTGTCCCTCAGCACGGCCTAAATGACTCGCTGTCTGTGCATACACATATGCTCCAGACATCTCAAACTTGATTGTCCCAGAGTTCGTGACACTGTCACCTAACCCACCAAGCGGCACCTCTGCCCCAAGTCTCTCAGGTGGGTCTTTCCTTTGAGTCCTTTCTTTTCTAACTAGTGGCTTCCAATCCATCATCTGTGCTGTCAAATCCCTCTCTCTCACCTGCTCCCATTATGGCTCTGGGCTGAACTGCCATTATTTCCCATCTTCACACACACCATCTCTCAATGCTACAAACTCTCAATGTCTCCAGACCCTGCTCCCACCCCCCAGAGCCAAGTCTCATCTCTAGCCTGTGTAAGATCCACCAAAGCCTTCGGCACACTGCCAGCTAATCTGGGCCTTCTCCAACCACCATCCCTGTCTCCACTCTAGCCTACGGCTGAGCTTCTGCCACACATGCGTCAAGGCTGCAGCAGCTCTCAGTCTCTCCTCAGGGCCTGCTACAGGGCCTCTGTCTCCCAGGCAGCTCTGAGCTGATGCCCTGCTCACTGAGGCTCTTCCTGCCTGAGTCCCTCATCTCTACGTCTCTTGGCCTTATTTTCCTCCACTGACACAGGTTTGCACCCCAGCAGTCTCTTTATACTGTGGATTCTGCCCAGGAAAGAAAGAAAGGTTCAAACGGGCAACTTCAGTCCATGGCTGACACAGAGCAGGATGTGGCGGCTCACTGTGGCGGCTCACTGTGGCAGAGCCGCCCCAGCCGACAGTCCTTCCCCATCTACTGTAGCCTGGGGAAACACTCCAGAGGTGAGGCCTGATGTCATACAGGAGCAAGCACTGAGTGGCCACCCTCCGTGGTCGGACATTACCCAGAAGCAAAGGACCAGACACTGACTAGTTCCACTCACAGACACTCACTCCCCAGCCTCACTACTGCTCGAGTGATCTTACCAAGCTGCTTCACGCTATGGTCCTTCTTAGCTTTACGGTAGGAAGCATTATGTTCTTTGTCAAGGGAAAGGCTACTTTCACTGGCTCTAGAGTCCCTTCTTCCTGACATGAAATTGCACAATAGAAATAAGTGTTAAACTTACAAACGCTGCAGTTACCAAGCACAGGAACTAAGTCGAATTTAGTAGGTTCTGAATATATCTATAAAATGAGCTGTTTCGGAGTAAGTAAAAGTGTCATATTCTCATACATCTCTTACGTGCTATGGTAAACCAGAAGAGTCTTAAAAGTACTCATGCCTGAATCCCTTGTTCTTTGTAGTGGACACAAGGCTCACCCTGTGAACCAAACACCCAAGCCCTGTGTCCTGGGCACCTCTGAGTCAGGACATTTGCTCAAATGATGACCCACTCAAGAAAGGCAGAATGTCTGGTGCGGTGCCAGTCTTGCTGAGGGAAGGGCCTCTGGTGAATCAGTGCCTGGCTAGTGAGGCTGGGAAGATAAAAGTCCACCAAGCTGCTGCCAGCTCAGTGAGGCTCACAGTCAGTTCTTGCAAGTCCCTGATGAGGATCACAGAAGAGAGGAGACACAGAGAAGGGAGACGAAGAGGGAAAGAGAGACAGTGTCACAAAAGACAGTGTCACTAAGCATCTACAAACTAACAAGTACTAGATAAGAAGGTGTGATAATGCACCCCTGTAATACCAGCTCTCAGGAGGTTGGGGCAGCCTGCCAGACTACAAAGTGTGTTTGAGGCTGGCTATATAGTAAGACCCTGTCTCAAAACCACTGAGAAAAAGCGGGGTGAGGAGGAAAACAGGACTCCCAAAAGTAAGATTAAAACAACACGAGGTATCAACAATCACCTCAACTAAGACACCCCAGCACTCCACATGCACAGCCAAGACTTTCCGAATCATGGAAAACACAGTTAACTTGAGTCATAAAAACCTGACAAGTTAGTCTATTTACTTCCTGGGCATAGGGTAAGTATAAATGATAAAGTGATTTAAATCCATTTATCTGGAAGAAATTTATCTGGAAGAAGAAAACAAAATAAAATACTTCAGGCATGGTGGTGCACACCTTTAATCCTAGCACTCAAGAGGCAGAGGAATCTCTGAGTTCAAGGCCAGCCAGGACTATATAGTGAGACTTTGTCTCAAAAAAAAATTTTTTTTTAATCTGTAAAGATAAACAATTCAAAACAGCACAATTTAAATAAAACTTCTTTAAAAAGAACTGTAAGAAAGCAGGAAGTAACAGAAGACATGGCCCAGAGACCAGGGAAGGGCAGCCAACCAGGATGCCATCCTAAACAATCCAGAGCATCAGCTTACACCATGAATTACAATAAGGAATGAATTTAAAAGACTAGATAATAAAAATGTCTGATAAAATCAGTCTTCATGTCTCAAATCTCTAAACACATCACCAAAAACTACAAGTAGCAAATACTAAGGCCTCAGGCAAGTCAGAAGCCAAGCCAAGTGAAAAAGAACTAAGGAACCAGAAGAGAACATTTCAACACTGCAGGCATCCTACTAAGGAGTTCGTGAAAATGAACACCCCACGGGACTCCACAGGAGTCAGACCAGTCAAATAGGTGCATCGGAGCAACCAAAAACCTACCAACACAGGGAAAATGCCATCTCACTAGGAATGACATGCCCACATTTACCTGTACCATCAGGGAAGCTTTGAAGAACCGAGAAGGGATGGGATGAGGTGTCCATGGAGCCCTGTGGCTAATCACCCTTACCCTTATGCCAGCAACCGTTCCTGTGGGCATCTCCCACAGATGGCACACACAGGAAAAGGCTTTTTGGCATAAAATGTCACCACAGCACCACAAGCTAGGCAAGGAATCATTATTGAATGAAAAACCCCAACTCCTACCGTACTCCTGTCTATGACGTCACAGGTCAGGAAGAGGGTGATTCTCCCAAAACTACTACTGCTCAGCAAAGCTACTTCATACTTCAGTGAAGTTAGTAAGCCGCCAACACTAGTGGCTATCCCAGGATCCCCACGCCCTCCTGTCCTGTCTGCTGGTCTGCCGAGCAAATCCCAGGCCAGGCCTGTGAGCTCAGCTCTCAACATGATTCATTGTGTAAATGCAGCAGCATCTGCCTGTGGGCTCTCTGTGTCTGATTTGCAACAGGTTCACCTCTTTCTACTACAGCAGAACCAATGAGACTGAGATGTCAGACAAGCAATTCTGACAGGAAGTTCAATGCACCCTTCAGATTTCAACAGGCTCTCCTGCCCTGGGTGGGGCGAGCTTGTATACATATGCACTTGCCCCTCTGTGAGTGTGTGCAGAAGCCACAGTCTCCAGTTTCAGAGTCTACCACCCCCTAGGTGTGGCCATGCTGTGCTCCCCGAGGTTCCTCCTACTACACTCTGGTCAGACATAAAGAGCAGCCTCCATCTCAGCTACGTGCACAGGCAGCTTCGTTACCTTCCAGTGAATTCTTAGATCGCCGTTTTGATGTTTTTGATGACAAGGACTTGGATGCTCCCACAGAAACCTCAGCCTTAAAGAAGAGAAGAAACAGAATTACTTGGCACATTGCACATCAATTTTATCAGACTTACTTTCCATGCTCTGCTGGAAGAGTATGAACAGGAGACATCCTTTGGCTTGAGGGACCATACCAGCCCCATGTGACGACAGCCTCAATCCTGAGGTGAGAAGTAGAGGCCACCACACCTCCCTGCCTTACATTTAGATCTGTCTGTGCTACTTACTGGGAGAAACACAGTGAGGTGTGCCTATGAGGAGCCTACCTCTGTTGCTGCATAGTCTTAGGCTGAAGGACAAGACACTCGTCAAACTGTGCTGTGCAGTAGATGATTTCCTATTTCCTCAGTGGCTCAACACCTCAGGGTGTAGCATTTGCACAAACTAAGATACCACAGTGTTAATTAGCAAATAGCTTTACAGGGCCACCATCTTAGATGCAGCCCATCACTGATCAAGACACATAGTCCATGACTGCACTCAGCTACTGAAATGGATTTGTACAAAACTCTGTAAGTAAGAACTTCCAGCATGGTTTAAAAACAACCAAAAGGAGTCAGAGAGAACACAGTACAGTCCTCTCCTTCTCTCCCTTCCTCCCTCTCTCCTCCTCTCAAACCTTCACCCCTCCCCCTTCCTCTCTCTCTCTACCTTCTCCTCCCCCAACCCCCCTCAATCATCCCCCCACCCCCACCCCCACTTGCCTGGCACAGTCCCACACTCCCATGCCCAAATAGTCCCATGGCCTCCCCAGCCCTGCTCCAGCCGCCTGCATCTCCTGGTTCTGAGATGAATTATGGAAGTTGGCTTCAACTCTTCAATGGCCCTCAATACTTAGGATGAATCCAGCCTCCCCAAGATGGCCTACAAAGGGATGATGCCATGATTGTACATCAGCTACAGGAGACACACTGTAGAGTCCAAAATTTACCAGACAGAGCTTAGACGGATTCCTCTACCTGGCTATCCCTGAAAGCTACCTCCACCATCTCCCCCAAATGATCTACACATTCTAGCCGTGTCATGCAAAGATATGCATAAACCTGGAAGTGGTTTGTGCAAATGCTACACCACAGTTTAAGAATTGCCCCCATCAAAAGCCAGGCGTGATGGTGCAAATCTTTAATCCCAGCACTCAGGAAGCAAAGACAGGCTTGTCTCTGAATCTGAGGTCAGCCTGGTCTACAGAGCAAGTTGCAGGACAGCCAGGACTACACAAAGAAACGCTGTCTTAAAAAAGAAAAGAAAAGGACAGAAAGAAGAAAGGAAGGAAGGAAGGAAGGAAGGAAGGAAGGAAGAAAGAAAGAAAGAAAGGAAGTGCCTCCATCAGATGGTCTGGGAGCATGTCTGTGGGGCACTTTCTGGATTGCTGATTGATGTGTGCAGTAGCATCCCTGGCAGGTGGGCCCAGACTATAGAAAACCAGCTGAGGCAGGAAGAGCTGGGAGCAAGCCAGTAAGCAGTGGTCCTTTATGGACTCTGTTCGCGCCTTCAGGCTTCCTTTGATGACAGACTGTGATGTGGCAAATAAACCTTTACCTCCCCCAAGTTGGTTTCAGTCAATGTTTTATCATGGCAACAGAAAAGGAGAGGGAGAGAGGGAGAGAGAGGGAGAGAAAGGGAGGGAGGGGGAGAGAGAGAAAGAAAGCCTGTTTTTTAAACATTACCTCCATCTCTGCTTTGGCATCTTTGAAAGATCCATCTGACAACTTTTTAGACATCTCCCCTGAGCTTGCTGACTAGAAGAAGGAGGAGGAGGAGGACTGTTAAAATCTGTAGCATTAGCAATGTAAAGAAAACCCCCGAGACACAGGACGTGACACCGAGGAACAAACGAGACTTCTACACGGGAGCACACTGCCACTCCAGGTCTGAGAGCCATAGTATTCTGCCTACAAGTCCCAAGAGTCTCCCAAGAAAACTGAGGGGACCTGGAGACACCCTCTGGTACATAGGGCCTCTCGGGAAATCATACAGGATGGCCAGGATCCAGAAGTGAGGGGGGGTGGCTGTGAACCCACTCCTGTCCTCTGGGCGTCTCCTGACAATGCAGTAACTGCGGAGCAGAAGGACTCTTCACACGGGAGGGAAAACACTGTCAGGAGCCATGAGTACTGTAAATACCATCTTAGTCCTTAAACCAGCTCTCTGAAGGAGCTGGACAAAAGCAGACAGACTGGCATCACTGAGTTCATGGTGAAAGTATGGAGGAGAATGTGATCACTGGCAATTGCTGAGTTCAGGTCAGCCTCAACCCTCACAGCCATAGCTTCTAGCCTCAGAGAGGCAATGAGAAGGTGGCCAAGCCCCAGCAAAGGCTGAGCCAGCAGCTAGGCTCTAATGCCACCCAGGAACCCCGCTGACTGCCCTTACCATGGCACTGACTGCACCCACCCCTCTGACTGCACCCACCCTCTGACTGCACCCACCCTCTGACTGCACCCACCCTGGAGCCCTGCTGAGCCCCTCTGACGACACCTTTCTTCACAGAAGCCCACCAGGCAGCTGGAAGACATCTTCTTCTAGACAGTAAAAGAGCAGGGGCTGGGAACTGGTCAGAGGGGGCGTGGCTGCAGCCAAACACCAGGGGTTCCTGCCTGGCACTTCTGGCCACAGCAAGCTTCACTGTTGGTTTCCCAGACCCACAGAGCACAACAAAGGCATCCCCAGATCAACAGCAGAAGAGCCAGACAGACAAAACTACCAGGAGATCTCAGCAAACTCAACTTCACTTGACCGGGGTCTCCCATCCTCTGAAACAAATCACTTGCATTTGGTTCTTATCCAAACACTCCTCTCTGGAACTGCCTTTCTGTTACTAAGTTACAGCATCAGCAGCTTTAGTGAGCAGGACATGCGGCTGCTTGATCTAGAGTTTCCATGAGGGACCGCCGCACACAGTTAAAAAACAGCAGATAAGCTATTGCCTCTCAAATCTCAGCTCAACGAAAAGTATCTCCTTAGGCCACTAACAAGAGGTAATGACAGGAAATAGCTGATTTCCCAAACTCATCAAGGAACTCATCAGGTTACTATGACACAGGTACATTATGACACAGGGTACATTACTCCAGGATGTGCGTGGGAAGTTGAAATGTGACTTAAATAGCAAACACCCAAGTAAGTGCCCAACAGAACACAATTATCCACGAAGCCACAGTCTCATTGCACCAGACCTAATGAAGGAACATGCTGACACCCAGACAGGCAGTCATAGGACACCGGCATGGCTGGTCCCACAGCGCCCACTCCTCTCCAGAGGAGTCACCAGAGCAAGATGACTGCCATAGGTGGGTTGCCCTCTGGCCAACAGCTGCAAGCAGGCAGCTCTCAGCCTCTCTAGGATGCTGTGTGCATACTGGGTCACCAGAAAGACATCGGGAAAAGGAGTCCTGACCTACGATGATTGATCTCCACTGGGCTCTAGTGTCACCTATAAGAGGATTCTCTGGACGTGCAATGAAGGATTATCTAGATTTAACTGAACTTAGAAGACCTGCTGACCGTGGGCAGCATCACCTCATAGGCTGGGGTCGAACGAATAGGAAAGAAAAGGTGAACTGCTTTGCAACTATGGGTTTCCAGGGCCTGCTGTTCAGTCCTCTCTGTCATGATGGACTATACCCTGGAACTATAAACCAAAGGAAACCCAACCTTCCTTGAAATTGTTTCTTGTGAGGTATTTGTCACAGCAATGAAAAAGTGACCAGTCACCTGCATTCAGGAAGTAATGAGAAGCCGGAGGATTTCCTGGCCAACCTTAATTTTACCTGAAAATATCATTAAACAGGAATTACAGGAAAATGGAAGTCTTATGACACTAATAATGTGTAAAAAAAAACACACTGAAAGTAGCTCTACTTCCCACTAGGTTCTATGACTTCCCTGGCCAAGGGTTTTTCACCAGGTTTACTACACCAGGTATTGATTCCTTCCAATGGAGTAGGCCTCCATCAGAAAATGATTGGTGACCCCATAATAGCCATGCCACTAGTACACAATGGGCGGATCTTGTCAGGCGGATCGGGAGTGCAGCACAAAGGGTTTAGGAAGACTGTTGGTGGCTTTCCTCCCATAACAACCCGCACGACACTTTCCATCGCCGTAAAAGCCAGCCAGCAGAGAAGAAGCTTTTAGCTCAGTTTCAACTTCATTTTTCTGTGTTCTATGACCAAAGTGTAATTTTACAGAAGTAGCAATGGGATCTTTCCATCTTGTTCTGGTAGCAATGAAAAGCAGTAGCAATGGCCTGTATTGTTTTAAACTGACTTTTTAATTAATTACTTTTCTGCTATTAACATTAAAAATATACTATTGAAAAAAAAAAAGAAAGTAGCTCTAATCCTTAATAAGCTCAGTCATGTCCACACTCCAAGGGGGATCGCACCTACAGTCACCTGTGTATGTGACAAATGACACAATTTGCAAATGGCAGCAGGCAAAAGACCTTTGAATCATCTAGCAAGACAAAGTAAGGCCAACAGCAAATCGGCTGCCACTGTCAGCTGCCGCTTCCCCTTAGGCCAGGCAGGGAACTGTCAAACACTGAACTCTGAGGACAGAAGACACCTGACAGCGTGTTTGCCTGGCTTCCTCTCGGGATTCATCCTTCAGTGCTCCAGACACTTCATAGGCTGTTAGGAACTGATCAACACTATCCAAAGACTCAAGATCGGAAAAACCGACTATCCCTCGTCTGGATGCTTGATTCACTATTTCCCCTAAGGTCTACTGCATACCTACTATGTGCCAGCACTCTATTAAACCTAAGGTTTACTGTACACCTACTATGTGCTGACTCTATTAAACTAGGGATTCAACAATGAACATAAGTAACATCCAGAGTATGTGCTTAAGGATATTTTAAATGTTTGAAAGCTTCCTGAATAATGCTGAGTTAAATGGCTGAACTACTATTAATAAGTGACAAAAACATTTAAAGTTTTTAAAAACTAAGCCAGTAAGACAGCTCAGTGTGTAAAAGCATTTTTCATGCAAACCCAGCACCTTGAGCTAGATCTCCAGACCTAACCAACTCCGAAAAGTTGTCCTCTGGCCTCCACACTGTGGCATGCACACACCCACATTTACACACACTTCATGCACCCATACATAACAATAAATAAAATATAAATAAATAAAAAAATTTGCCGGGCGGTGGTGGCGCACGCCTTTAATCCCAGCACTCGGGAGGCAGAGCCAGGCGGATCTCTGTGAGTTCGAGGCCAGCCTGGGCTACCAAGTGAGTTCCAGGAAAGGCGCAAAGCTACACAGAGAAACCCTGTCTCAAAAAACCAAAAAAAAAAAAAAAAAAAAAAAAAAAAATTTTAAAGATACCTGGTTAAAAAACTGGTATCTCGCCGGGCGGTGGTGGCGCAAGCCTTTAATCCCAGCACTCGGGAGGCAGAGGCAGGCGGATCTCTGTGAGTTCGAGGCCAGCCTCTTCTACAGAGCGAGATCCAGGAAAGGCACAAAGCTACACAGAGAAACCCTGTCTCGAAAAACAAAAAAAAAAAAAAAAAAAAAAAAAACTGGTATCTCTTTGGATAACTACAAGGAATCAAAGACAGCCACAATTCACAGTTACAAATTTTCCAGGATGACAAGTTCATGAGCAGGAGATGGCTCAGTGGTTAAGAGTCCCTGCTAACTCTTACAGAGATGCACAGTTCAATTCTCAGTATCCACACATCAGGCAGCTCACAACCACCTGTGCCTCCAGCATACGTGACATACATTCACACAAATTGTAAAAAAATTAAAAATAAAAGCTAAGTCTTTAAAAATATAAAAGTAGGGCAGATGCTGTGTTAGAGAGCACACCAAGCTCTCCCTGAGCAGGGCTGAGCAGGCCTCAGGGCTGGAGGGATTATGAGTGCTGGTTGCTCCTGCAGAGGACCTGAGTTCAGTTCCCAGCATCGGCACGGTAGCTCAGAACCTCCCGTAACTCCAGACCAGGGGATGTGATGCCCTCTTCGGGCCCCAGGGGCTCCTGCACATACATGGTCCACATAAACTCATTCAAACACACACATAAACATAAGAATACTAAATAAATAAGTCTTGATCATGACCATGCCTTTTTCTCTGGCTTGTCTGGATCTCTGCTTTTCTCCCGGTCAGGGTCCCGGGAATGCTCCCCATTCTTCGCTTTCCGCCGTTCCCGGTCTTTTCCCCGGTCACGGTCTCGATCCTTCAGCCTCTCCTTTTCTTTCCCGCCCTCGCTCCTCCTCTCCCGATCCTTGTCCCTTTCACCCTCTCTGTCCCGGTCTTTGTTGCTTCTGTCCTTGTCCTGCTTGGCCCGACTTCTGGCTTTCTCTCGCTCTCCCTCCCTGCTTCTGTCCTTGTCAGGGTCTCTGTGGCGGTCTCTGTCGGGCTCCTTTGCCTTCTCCTTGTCCCTCTCCTTGTCCCTCTCCTTGTCCCTCTCCTTCTCCCGAGGCTTGTTCTCTTCTTTCAGTTCCTCCTTCTGTCTGTGCTCTGCACTGGCGCTTCTCTCCTTTACCTCAGAGCTTCTTTTATCCTGAAGAAAAATACATGCACATGTACATCATTTTTCACATTTTACTGAAATTAGAAAGACTTGCTATTTCAAAGATGTGCAGCCTACAACTCACCTCTTTATGAGTTCTGGACTCTTCTTCCTTCACATTCTTGTTGTCGGCCTCATGGGTTTTGGAGGTCCGTAAGGCCCGTCCTCTCGAGTCCGCCTTCTCCCCAGCTAAGACTCTCTTCACTGCCTCATCACTGGAGAGCTTGTTGGCCATGCCAAGGAAGGAGAAATGATGTTAGCACATGCAACCACTGAAAATGCAGCGTTCAAGGACAGTTCACTAAACAGACTTTCTCCCTACTGTAAAGGACATTTGGAGGATAAAATATAAAATGTTAGTGACAAACACATTTGACAGCCATTACTAAAGACACCCAAGCTAATAATCCTGCCACCACCTCTACCCAAACTGTCAGTGTGAACATGTGTGTGGCTCCAGTAACCCAGATAGCACTACAAATGTCTTCAAACAGAATCCCAGGATCTAATCCCCACACATCCATTAGTACAGCTATTACGAAAGAAATTTTAAAATTCTAAGTATGAGGAGGAAAAAGCATAGCCTGTGAGTCACCGGGAAAGCAGAGTGCTGCCGTCCTCGGGAATACAACATGGCAGCCCCTCACAAAATCAGACACAGAACAATCAGGATGACCCAGCCACCACCCTCCTGGGTTTACAGCAAGAGAACTGAAAACTGGTCTGAAGAGAAAGTTCCACTCTGCACTCAGAGACACTGTTTGTGACAGCTAGCATGTGGAAGCAGCACAGATGTCCCTTAACAGATGAGGGGACCAACAATGTAGTCAATCCACAGAGCAGAGTATTGCTAACTAACGGGAAGAAAACTGACCCTGATACACCGTGGATGAACTCTGAGGACACCATGCTAGTAAAGGACAAATACTCCCACATACATGAGGTCTGTGGACAGTCACACTCACAGTGACAGAGAGGGGAAGGTTGTTACCGGGATGGGTAAGGAGGTCAGTTTTGCAAATGAAGAGTGGATGACAGTGATGACCACATGTCGTCACTAATGTATCAAACTATGAAACTATATGCCAGCTGGGATGATTGTCACTTGAATTTAACACAACAGAAAACTACTAAGTCCCATCAAAAGCAGAGTCTGGCTCCTGCATCCCTCACAGCCATCCAGGGTACTGCCCAGCTCTCTGGAGCTGGACTTTTCTGTCCCGCCAGCCAATTCCCAAATAACCACAGGAATCAGCCCAGGAACTGCTCACCCCCACACCTGCTCCACCTGCTCCACAAGCATGAACCAGGAAAGCGTTCCACACCAGCTCTACCTGTCTAGGACAAGTTGCCTACCAGGAAGGGTTCCAAAAGGTGGGCTCCCACCTACCTTGTTGAGGCAGCACTTGCCAATCAGCTGAAGCAGCTCATTGGTTTTTTCAGGTTCATGCCCGGCCACAATTCTTGCTGGTTTTGCTGACAAGGGTTCTCCTGAGACCATCATGACCACATCTATGGCCTTCTGTAGGAAGCTAATTTTTGCATCTTTATCCTGAAATATTTCCATATAAGAGACAAATATTAAAATAAATACTTCAGGGCTAGAGAAATGGCTTAGAAATTAAAAGTGTATACTGCTTTTATAGAGGGCCTGAGTTTCAGTTCCCAGCACCCAAATCAGGTGGCTCATAACTCACTTAACCCTAGCTCCAGAGGATCTGACATCCTATTCTGGACTCCATAGGCATTGCACTCACACATGAACACACACATACAGCACAGTTTTTTGGTTTTGGTTTTTTTCTTTTTTTTTCTTAAAAAGAAAGCCATGAACTTGGGAGAGAGACAGTATAGAGGGCACCAGGGGAGTTGGAGGGAGGCAGTGGTGCATGGATATGATCAAAATACTCTGCATAAATGTATGAAATTTTCAAAAAATAAAAGTATTTTAAAATAAAATTTTGATTTTTATATAAATACTTTGAGGAGTTTGTACTATCCTCAGTATATTCAATAGGCACAGAATGGCTCTCTTTATATGGAAAATTATTTTTAGATGTATGACAAATTCAGAATTTCTGACTTTTCATAACCTTTTATGAACTTTCATTGTTTACAACAAAATCTACTCATTCAAGCTTTCAATGCCATTAATGGGCTAGTATTGACCTACAAAACAATCTGTTTTGGGCTTTTTGTTTGTTTTTGAGATATGGTCTATGTGGAATATTCCTTTACACTGTGTAAATATATGTCACTGTGATTGGTTTAATATAAAGAAGCTGACTGACCAATAATTAGACAGGATAAGGTTAGACTGGAGAACCAGACTAAGAGGATGCTAAGAAGAAGAAGGGCAAAGCCAGAAGAGTCATCAGGAGACACAGATGAAGCAGGAGATGAATTTGTCATATTGAGAAAAGGTACCAAACCATGTGACAGAGCATAGATAAGAAATAGGGGTTAATGTAAGTTATAAGAGCTAGTTAGTAACAATCCTAAGCTAGCAGCTGAGCATTTATAATTAATAGTAAGTCTCTGTGTGGTTATTTGGGAGCAGGCAGTCCTGACAAAAAACTCAGCCTATAGGTCTATGTGGCCCTGGCTTCAAACTCATGATTCTCATGTCTCAGCCTCCCAAGGGCTAGGAATACAGGTGTACCCCACCATGACAGGCTACTTTTGCTTTTTGGGATAGGGTCTTGTTGTAGCCTTGACTGGCTGGGTACTCACTGTGCAATCTGCACTGGCCTTGAACTTGCAGCAGTCCTCCTGACTTAGTCACCCAAGTGCTGGGATCACAGCTATGCATCACCACATTTAGTTGTAATTCTGCTTCTTTTTCTTTCTGTATGTGTATGTGCACATACATGTGTGTGTGCATATGGAGGCCAGGGATCAACCTCAGGTATCATCCATTCCTCAGGATAGATCTACTTGGTGTTTTGAGACAAAAATCTCTGGGTCCTAAAGCGCTACCTGGTCACCAAGCACCTCTCCAGCTCTGGAAATGTCACACCCAGCTTTTCACACAAGTGCTGTGGGGAATATAACTCAGTCTGCATGTTTGTGTGGCAAGCACTTTACCAGCTGAGTTCACTCCGACCCTGAATCTGCTTTTCAGTAGAAAAATTTAGCATGGCATGCTATTACCACGAATGAGAAAATGAAACAAGAGAGGGTACACACAACTCAAAATCAACCAGCCTTGCATTCCACCCATCTGTCAGCATAGGCAGGATACACACAATAGTGTGCAGCCTGTAAAACATGCTGTATTCTTGAAGGCAAGGGTGTGCAGAAAAGGAACTCACAGCAGAACCTACCTTGACGTTATCTGACTTCATCTCAGCATCTGTGTAGAGGCCCTTCATGAAGCCAGTTATCCTAATCACCTGCAGAAGACAGAAAGGAACCATCATACATACACACCTCACTGGACAGCCCCTTCACTGACCTCATCCACTGAACCCCTCAGGAGAGGTCAGAACGCAGCCACACCTACAGCTCTAACTGCCTCATCCCCTTCCTCAGCAAAGGTTTGATGCCTACTAGATGCAGGGCCAGGCTTCAGAGAACAGTTATGAAGACAGCAAAGACTGCCAACACTGAGCAGGTGCTGGAAAGTTCACAGTAGGGCAGGGAAGACCAAGAGGTGCCCAGGACAGCTTCCCACTGAGGCCAGAGACTGACAGGGAAAAGCTGGGAAGTACACACACACTCAACAAAAGAAAACAACCAACTAGTCCAGACCGACAGGTTCCATCGGAGGGACCAAAGTTATATGGGGTGGCTGGAGCGGAGGCCACGGTCACGCCAGGCCTGACTCCAGATCCTTGGCAGCAACTTGAGCCACAAACCAAAGCACTCCAAGGAGACACAAACAGCTTTTCTATTGCAGAGGACCTGACCACACATCCTTCACCAGCACACTAAAACCAAATGGGAAAAATGGCCTCCAGAAAGAATAGGAGCTACTTAGCCTGGGTATCTAAAACCACAAGTTCCAGAACAGTCTCTCATTTCTTACCATAATGGAGTGTTCCCCAATCCAATCTCATTTGTTCTCTCCCTATCATGCCCCTCCCAACAAGTAACCTGTAGCCCTAGTTACCTCTAAAGAAGGACAGTGATTTTCTGTTCCTCCATGCCCCTACATCTGGCCAGGGTCCTGGGTTCTCAGAGGTGTAAGTTACTAGGAAATCAGTAAGACGGGTAGTAACAGCACTTAAAATTAAATTAAAAAAAAAAAAAAAAAACATCATGAATGTGAATGTGGTGCTCAGTAAGGACACATATGACCAGGAATATGATACATAGTAACACGTTACCAAGAGGCAGGCTTTAAAAACATAGGCAGCAAGAGAGCCCCTTGTGAATGCCATCTCCTCCTCTGGGATGGAGCTACAGCTACCCTGGCTGCATCGTGCTAGTTATTAATTAATCTAGAAAAGTCCATCTCACAACAAACTACAGGAGAGCTACACTACTCAGCTGGGCGGGCTTGTGCTGGGTCATTTTGAGAAGATAGCTGGCATGTGGACCACCAGAGCATCCTGATCTAAGGTTTAGAGAAGACAGCTGGTACCTGGACCACCAGAGCATCCTGACATAAGGTTTAGAGAAGACAGCTGGTACCTGGACCACCAGAGCATCCTGACCTAAGGTTTAGAGAAGATAGCCAGCATGTGGACCATTAGTGCATCCCAATCTAGCATTCCTGAAACTACCTTTGCTCAGGTTTTCCCAGGACACTGGCAGTTTAAATGGTGAGCAGCAACTGTGACAAGAGACATTCATGTCACAGACAGAGGCTTACTTAATGAAGAAACAGTCAGTTAGCTGTGGCTAACCCACAAAGGTGACTTGAATGCAGGAGGCTATCTACCTGTGATCTGAAAATTCTTGCAAGTCAACTCTGGCAAGGAGGCGACAGCTAGTACTTGTCTTTCTACTGGAACATACGGGCTTCACCACTGGATCCAGGAAAGATCCAGAAGAAAAGCAGACCTCACTCTTTGTCCACTTCCACTTCAACGGTCCTCCTCCCTCCCACAAGCCCCACTCCATTCCTGAGTGGCTTCAGGATAAGGTCCGCTCCCAGCGAGCCACGGGCTGATGGTACAGAAGAAAAGCACGGGCTTGACAGTCTCCACTGTGACAGGCCGGCACCACGCTGGCTAACTCTTCTGGACTCCTTCATTTTGGAGGGCGGCAACTAACTGCCTGCCTGCCCGGGACTCTCCACACAACCAGTCCCTTCCTCAAACCTTCCAGGATATGCTGCAAGTGCCTCACAGTCTGGGAGGAGAGACTACAAGTCAGGGGAGCCCCCTTGGGAGTCGGGTGAACTCCAGAGCATTTCTAGACACACCTAAGATGGCTAACAGACGGGGCCATGTTCCTAAACAGCACTCATGACAAGCTAAGGTAGGCAGGCCCAACTGAGTAAAGCAACGGGTGAACTAAGGTGCTCAACCTGCTGAGAGGAAGTCTTAGGGACAAAACCAGGGAAGACCTTGGACTCTGGAGACTGACTACCAAGTCCCCACAACACCGAAAGTTCTACAGTACCCTCTGGAGTAGCATGCCAATTGTGCTCACCCCCTGCAGTGATACTCTGGCTTTACCAGGAGCCCTGACAGACTCCACACAATTGTGATTGTTGTACAATGCTGTGTACCTCATTCAGTGTACCTCCCTGGAGATTTGCTAACAAATGGAAGATATGCTCTAAAGAGACGCAATGGCAAGTGGGTGGGTGGGTGGGGGATCTTTTGGGGGAGAGCCCAGAAGCCTCCTTTGTAAGAGGTGGTAAAGTAAGGCAGGTCCCAAGACCTTGTAGGCCTGGGTTCCCAACATGAAAGTCACCTTGGCCCTAGCCAAGCTCTTAGGCCCCAGACAAGGACCTCCACCCTACCCAGACCTCAACTATAACCCGATTCTAGGCCTCCAACATACACTCCAGCTCCTAACAGCACCCTGACCCTGGGCCTCAGACCCTGTCCCAGGGCTCAGCCCGGGCCTCCACCTCAACCCCAGCCTCAGCTTCCAGCCCCTAACCTACAGCCTGACTCTGGACTCCAGACCTGGACCCTGACCTTTACATCTCCACCCAAACCACTTGACCCATCCTCTAGCCTGGACCCTCACCCTGGTCCCGGCCCACAACCTGGCCTGTTCCTGGCCAGCCAATCCCAGTCCGCCAAACCTACAACCAACCCCAGACCCTGAATCCGGACCCTGACCAGCACCCTCCCCTATCAGCCTGGCCCTCCAATCCACAGGTTGACCTTAGGCCCCAGACCCAGGCCTCAGACCTGCATCTGGCCATGACCCACCCTCCAATCTAACCCCAACTTGCAACCCATCCTGACCCTCACACTGACCAGCACCCTCTACTCTACCCTGACTCCAACTGAAGCCCAACCCAGACCCTGACCAGGGCCTGCACCTCCACCCTCACCTCACTCTCACTCCAACCAGCACCTGGGGCCTGACCCTCACACCGACCCTCACTCACCTCACCCCGGGACTGACTAATCCTCACTTCGACCTCAACCCTGACTGGCACCTACCCCGACCCTCACACTACTGGGTCCCTCAACCCGACCCTCTCTACCTGAATACTCACTTTGACCCGACCCTTATTCTGATCCTTACCCTAACCCGCCTCCTATTCAGACCCGCATCCTAACCCGACCCTCACCCTACTCAGACCTTCACCCCGACACTCACTCCGTCCCGCACCCAACCCTACCTAACCATCACCCCGACCCTCAACCCGTCCCGCACCTACCCTGACCCATAACCGGTCCGGCACCCTACCCCGGCCCTCACCCAGTCCCGCACCTTACCCCTACCCTCACCCCACCTCGACCGGAACCTCACCTGACCCGCACCCAGCCCGCGCCCACCTCAGTGATGATGTCGTGCAGGTAGCGGAACGGCGGCTTGTTCAGCAGCTTCTCGGTGAGCGGCGGCCTCCGGATCACTTTGCCCAGAGCCTCCTGCGTCCGCCGCACCACTGCCGCGTTCATGGCGCTGGCGCCCGCGACCGCCCGCACCCCTCCTCGCGCGCCGCGCCTCCGCCCGGTGCCCCGAGATGCCCGCCGTCCAGGCGCGCCGGTCTCCCATCCCACAGTGCACCGCAGCTTGCCACTGCGCCTGCGCACGCCACTCGCGCCCGGTCTCTAGGGCCGCGCGGCCTTGGCAACGGACGCGCGCCCCGCCCGGCTCAGCCCCCTCCGGCCTCTCTAGCTGCGCAGGAGGACACGCGCGCTCCGCCTCGGTGGCTGCTTGAACCTGAGCCTGCTCCGCCCGCCCCACGCATCCGCCCGGCTCTGCACAGCGCTGACCAGAGACCAGGCGGTTCTGTATGAAAAAGGAGCGATCGTTTCTAAAGAAAGCGTACGAAGAGACAAGTTTAAAGTAACACCCACCAGGAAAATAACACTTCACATTAACTTGGAGAACCGAATTGGCTCTTTTCATCCCTTCATTCCGGTTCCCTGTCCAGCACCCTCTGCCTTGGGTAATCTTGAAAATGTTGCCAAAGGGAGGGACGTAGGGAGACTGTGTCCTTCCACATTTTCTATGCTCTTAGTTCACCAGGACTGGCCCCAAACTGTGAAGCCCTTAGACTAGAAGGCTGCAGCCTTCCGCCCCCGGGCGATGTAGGAGAGAAGCCTGTTCTTAGGGTTTGTGATCCTCCTGGATGCCTGCTGCTGTGCCTGAGATCTGGAGCTCCTTCCTCCCAAATTGAAGGCAACTCAGCTAGGGCGTTGCCCCTGATCTGCCTACCATGGCCACACCGGGGGCTAGAAACTCCTTTAAGAGCCCTCTCACTACTGAATCCCAGCTGGAGTTGTCTCTGGGTGGGCAGAATCCAGAGAGCAGAGGTCCTATCTCTAAACACTGTCCCAGAGAACAGACCCACATAGCTGCTACCCTGGGAAGTTCACTCTGGGCAGAATCCGGCTATGAGTATGGGCTGAGAGTTATGACCAGCAACTGGCTTGTCTGTGGTGCTAGACTGGGTGATGGGAACATAGATGGGACTTGGAGATACCTCTGACCTTGGGAGTTTACTGAGGACCTGGGTCCTAGGCCATGCAAAGGGAAGGTGATTCCTGATCCTCTCACAGCCCGTAGAGAGCAGGACAGAAAATGGATCCAAGAGGCCCTGTGGAGGTCCAGAGTACAGGATTTGGGAGTGCTAGCCACCTGGGTATCAAAGTCTCTGAGAGGATCCAGGACAGGGAGTATTGTCACCCAACCCCTCTGAGGACTAACCTAGGGGGAAGCAACCACGTGGCAGCCTTTAAAGAGTATAATTCCATCTTCCAGAGCCTCACCCCTGCTGCTGGTCCAGCCCTCCCCTCCATACTGAAGAGAGAGTGGACAACATTCTGGTCACAGAGAAAGCAAATCCCAGAAGATGTAACCAACGATTCCTGACTTCAGGAAAGATATCTGGAACCAGAGCCTCCCCAGGGAAAGGATGCAGAGGCCAGCCTGGAGCCAGCAAGTTTTGAGGGGTCAGCGGAGTAGGGCCCCTAGCCTAAATCACCCCCCACCCCTGAGATGAGGCAGAGAACAGTGAAGAGTCATTCATGGAAAAGGTAACTGATTAAGTATGGGGAAGGAACAGCAAAGAAGGGGTTTCTCACACAAAAGACTGGCAGGGGAGACTTTCAAAGTGAGCAGTTTCCAAGTGAATGAATGAGATTACCATGGCTGTGACTCACCCCAGGAAACAGAAGCCACAAAGCAAAGTGGCTTCCAGGCCCTACCTCCCCCAGCTGGGTGGCAAACATTCCCTGAGACAAAGACCTGAGGATGCTGAGCTTCACATCTGCCAAGAGCCCAGGATGTGGGTCAGGCTTGGGGAAGGGCCTGGATTTGGGTACCAGGGTCGGGAGCAGGAATAATGCAGAGCACAGACAAGCCTCGCCTACAGATACAAGACAGGCTGTCTACACCATTTGAATTTCAGATAAAACAATATTTACCATAAATTTATGGCAGACGGTTTTTTTTCGTTCTTTTATTTGAAATTCAGGACTGAATAACCGGCACTTATTGTTCTCTAAGCCTGCAAGCCCCGCTTTTGGCAAGCAAAGCGTGTCCGTGGAGCAGAGCACAGAGCAGACGCAGGCATCTCCCACAAGTGGGGAGCCTCTCCTGTCATTGCTGCCTCTACTTCCCCAGTCAGGGGTACAAAGCAAGGTCCCCACTACTTGCATGCAGCTCCAGATGTTGACACCTCCGTTGCTGAGCTTCCTGTCAGACTTGTGGAAGCTGGAAGAAAGCACAGTGAGAGAGGGAGCCGGAGAGAGGCACTGTCCCTCTCACAAAGTTCTACCTGGAGGTTTTCAGGACTTTGGCAAGGTTGGGGTCTGGGTCCCATCACCCCCAAAGGCCTCTCAGCTACTCTCTGCTGACCACACTTCTCTTCAGTGAGGGGGAAAGCTCTCTTCTCTGCACACACAGAATCAGGGTCAAGAGCCCCACTAGGAAAGTGAATCTTGGGGTGTCACTGCCCACTTCTGAGGGGAGGAGTCAGGTAGGGGCAAGCTTCCAGCCTTCCTAGGAGTGCTAAAGTATACAGGTGAGGGCAGCTCAGCAGCAGAGCACTTGCCTAGCATGTATGAGGCTCCAGGTTCCATAGTCAGCTCTGCAGGGCAAGGGGAACAGGAGGGCTCTTCAGGAGACTCAGGAAACACTTACATTCCCACTCCCCGCCTTCCTCTTAAAGCAAGTTATATTTTGTATATTTGTTTTATTTTTTTACTATGTCATTTATGCATTTATTCTACTTTCTTTCCTTTTCTAGAGTATATGTCACAATAAAAGTCATATAGCTTTGTAGTAAAATAAATCACAATATGACATTTTGATATTTGTATCAATGGTAAAATGTTTAAATTCAGATAATTAATGTACCATTGCCTCCCATACGTATATCACTTTATGATGAGACTATTTAAGATCTAGTCTCTCAGCAATAATTTGGTATGCAATGTGTTGATATGATCCATAGCCACTATACTATAAAACAAACATGAAGTCTCTTTTCACCCTATGCAACTGAAAGTCAGACCCCTCCTACAGCCTCTACCAGTACCCTTTACACTCTCATTCTATGAATCCAACTTTAAATTCTACGTGGAAGTGAGACCATGTAGCATTTGTCCTCTGTGCCTAGCTTATTTCCCTTAACATAATGTCTTCTAGGCCCATACTTATTGTTGATTTATTTGTTTTATGGCAGAATATTCCTCTGTGTATATCACATTTTGCTTATCCATTCATCTATCAATAGCTACTTAGATTGATTACTGCACTGGTTAATTTTAATGGTAAACTTGATATAACCTACAATAATTAGAAAGGGAATCTCAGCTGAGGAATTCCCTAGATCAGATTGGCCTGTGGGTCTGTGTGTGGGGGATTCTCTTGATGGTTGATTGATGTAGGACAGACCAACCCACTGTAGGCAGAACCATCCTAGGCTGTATAAGAAAACTAGCTGAGTCAGATGTGGTAGCATACACCTTTGATCCCAGTACTTGGAAGGCAGAAGCAGGAAGATTCCTGTGAGTTTGAGGCCAGCCTGGTTATATAGTGAGCTCCAGGACATCCAGGACTACATAGAGAGACCCTCAAAAAACAAAAGAAAAAGAAAGAAGAGGCTGAGCATGAGCCTGCCTGCCAGCCAGCAATATCTTTTGTGATGCCTGCCACCTTTCTTTGGCTGTGACTTCCCTACTCAGAGGTATGACTTTATAGACTAACAGGCAACTGCCTTCAGGCTTTGGCTTGACCTCCCTTGACTTCCTCTGATAATGGACTATGATCCAGAATTGTGAGCCAAATAAAACCTTTCTGTCCAAAGTTGTGTTGGGTTAGTGTGTTTGTCACAGGGACAGAAAGGAAAGTAGGACAATTATACATTGTTTTAACTTATTATTTATTTATGTATGCATCTGCTGTGGAATATCTTGTACACTGTAAAGATTTGTCATTTGAATCAGTTTAATAAAACTCTGATTGGCCAGTAACCGGGCAGGAGGCATAGGTGGGGTGACCAAACTTAGAACGCAAGGAAGAGGAAGTGTGGAGTCAGGAGTCGCCAGGCACACACAGAGAAAGCAAGACGAGAAGGTCGTGCTAAGAAAAGCTATATAGATAACAATTGTGGGTTAAATTAAGTATAAGAGCTAGTTAGTAATAAGCCTGAGCTACTGGCCAAGCATTTATAATTTATATTAAGCCTCCAAGTCAATAATCTGGGAAACAGCTGACTGGTATTTGGGAGTTGCTGGTGGGACAGAAACCTCTGATCACTGTGTATGTTTGAGACCTGTGTACACAAGTGCCTACAGAGGCCAGGAGAGGCTGTTAGTTTCCCTGAAGCTGGAATACAGGTGGTTATGGGCCACTTGCTATGGGTCCTGGGAACCAAACTTGGATTCTCTAAAAAAGTAGTAAGTACTCTTAATCACTGAGCCATTTCTACAGCCTGTGGATTTTTTTTGTTTTATTTTGTTTTGTTTTTTTGTTTTTGTTAGGCTCTCACGTTCCTCTGGTTGTCCTCAAAATCACTATGGAACTGAGAATGACCTTGAACTTCTGATCTTCTTTCTTTCTGCCTCTGCCTCCCAAGTACTGGGATCATAGGTGTGCATCTCCACTCCTGGTTTTTATGTGTACTGGGGATCTGGGTTCATGCATTCTAGATAAGCCAGCCAAGCTGAATCTCCAGCCCTGATTCCCTATCCTGAACAGTGCTGCAATGAACTGGGGATGCAGATAGCTCTACAGTATACAGATTTCCCTTTCTCTGGATGTATACCTGAAATGGAATAGCTAGGTCAGATGGTAGTTCTCTTTCTAGCTTATCATGCTACTGCAGTCTAGCTAGTGCTTTCAAGTGCATACTGCTCTCCACAATGGCTGTACCACTTCACATTCCCACCAACAGCATCTTCTTTTCTCCACTCCTCACCAGTACTCCCTAGGAGAGTTTGTTCACCATCCCCTTTTTGGTGTTTTTTCTTTCTTTCTTTTCTTTTTTTTTTGGTTTTTGGTTTTTCGAGACAGGGTTTCTCTGTGTAGCTTTGGAG